AAGTTAATTCATATACTTAACACAATTGTTGTTAATTTGTAAATAGAATCCGTTATGTAGTCTATATAAATAATTTCAAAATTCATATGGAAAAGTAAATGAGTCAGAGGATCAAAAGATGGCCCAAACTGGTCCAAGTATTGTGGGCTATTGTTAAGCTGATTTGACATTGTCTCCCCCAACAACCATGCTTGACTAGCTTAAAAGAAAAAAAAAATGACCCAAAAGGAGATTGGGCAATGTGGAGACTTGCTGTATTAGGTAAGATATATTGTGAGGCCATAATTGTTTATGTAGCCAAAAAAGAGAAATGAAGACTAACAGACCAATGTAAGTGTGAGAAGCAGAATCTAATTCGTGTAAGAACCTAGAGTATTATAACTAAGACCATGGGGAAAGGTATTTAAAATTACTGTATACCATGTATCAAGTACTCCAAGAGGATTCAAGTTAAAACATAAATGCACAAACTGAAAAAAATTTTAAAAGGCAGAATAGATTTTTAAAAAGTTTTATTTTTTTAATTGACACAATAATTGTCCATATTTATGGGGTACAGTATCTCGAACTGCTGAGCTCAAGTGATCCCCCTGCCTCCCAGAGTGCTAGGATTACAATCCTCCCAGAGTGCTAGGATTACAGGTGTGAGCCACCATGCCCAGCCAATGTACATGTTGGGTAATATCAAGTTAGGGTAGTTAACATTTCCATCACCAAAACACTTGTCATTTCTTTGTGGTGAGATGGTTCAAAATCATCTCTTCATCTATTTTGTAATATACATTACATTATTGTTAACTGTAGTCACCCTACTGTGCCATATGTCACCAGAACTGATCCCATTCTAACTGTGACTTTACACCTGTTGACTAACCTCCCCATCTCCTCTTCCCTACTAACCTCTATTTACTTTCTACTTCTGTGAGGTCACATTTTTAGCTTTTACATGGGAATGAGATCATGTGGTATTTGTCTTTCTGTGTCTGGCTTATTTCACTTAACATAATGTCCATTAGGCTTATCCATGTTGCTGCAAATGAGAGGATTTTATTCTTTTTTATAGCTGAATAGTATTCCTCTGTGAATATATAGCACATTTCTTTGTCCATTCATCAGTTGATGGATAGTTAGGTTGATTCCATTTCTTAGCTATTATGAATAGTGCTGTAGTAAATATGGGAGTGCAAGTATCCCTTTGACAAACTGATTTTCTTTCTTTTGGATCTATACCCAGTAGTGAGATTGTTGGATGATGTGGTAGTTTTATTTTAATTTTTAGGAACCTTCATATTGTTTCCCATAATGGCTGTACTAATTTACATTCCCAGCAACAGTGTGTAAGAGTACCCCTTTCTCCACATCCTTGCCAGCATGTGTTATTTTTTGTCTTTTTGATTGTACCCACTCTAAATAACTGAGTTGAGGTGCTATCTTATTGTGGTTTTGATTTACATTTCCCTGATTATCAGTGATGTGCATTTTTCATATACCTGTTGGGATTTTTGTATCTTCTTTTTTTCCCCTGATATATATATATATATATATATATGTCTTTTGAGAAATACCTACTTTGATTTATTGTCCATTTAAAAAATGAGATTTTTTTTGCTATTGAGGTATTTGAGTTCCTTATATATTCTGTCAGGTGAGTAGTATGTGAATATTTTCTCCCATTCTATAGCTTGTTTCTTCATTCTGTGGATTGCTTCTTTCACTGTGCAGAGGCTTTTTTACTTTAATCCCATTTGTCTAGATTTGCTTTTGTTACCTATGCACCAATGTCATGCAGTGTTTCCCCTATGTTTACTTATAGTAGTTTCATAGTTGCAGGTCTTACATTTAAGCTTTTAATCCATTTTGAGTTGGTTTGTGAAAGATATGAGAGATAGGGGTCTAGTTTCTTTCTTCTACGTGTAAATATCCAGTTTCCCAGCACCATTTATTGAAGAGACTGTGCTTTCCTCAATGTGTACCCTTTTGGTTTTTTTTTGGAGATGGAGTTTTGCTCTTTTTGCCCAGGCTGGAGTGCAATGGCGCAATCTCCGCTTACTGCTTACTGCAGCCTCCGCCTTCTGGGTTCAAGTGATTCTCCCGCCTCAGCCTCCTGAGTAGCTGGGATCACAGACACCCACCGCCATGCCTGGCTACTTTTGTATTTTTAGTAGAGACAGGGTTTTACCACATTGGCCAGGCTGGTCTCGAATTCCTGACCTCAGGTGATTTGCCAGCCTTGGCCTCCTAAAGTGCTGGGGTTACAGGCGTGAGCCACTGTGCCTGGCCATCTACTTTTTTGATGTAGGCATTTATTGCCATAAACTTCCCACTTAGAACTGGTTTTGCTGTATTTCATAGGTTTTGGAATGTTGTGTTTCCATTTTCATATGGAAGCAACATTTTTAGTTTTAAATTTCTTTTTACATTTTCTCAAGAAAATTTTAAATTTCTTTTTAAATTTTTTCTTTTCTGAGATGGGGTCTTGCTCTTTCACCCAGGCTGGAGAAAGGTGGCATCATCTCAACTCACTGCAACCTCCACTCCCTGGATTCAAGTGATTCTGCTGCCTCAGCCTCCCGAGCAACTGGGATTATAGGTGCCCACCACCATGCCCAGCTAATTTAAAAAATTTTTTCGTTGACCCCTTGGTTATTCAGGAATATGTTGTTTAATTTTCATGGATTTGTACAGTTTCCAAAGTTCCTCCTCTTACTGATTTTTAGTTTTATTCCATTGTGGTCAGAAAGATAATTGATATGATTTTGATTTTTAAAATTTGTTCAGACTTGTCTGCTCCCTTTAGGTCTATTAATAATTGCTTTATATATTTAGTTGTTCCAATGTTGGGTGCATATATATTTATAACTGTTACATCTTCCTGCTGTATCGATCATTTTATAATATGGCCTTTTATTTAATGGCCTGCTTTTTCTCTTTTTACAGTTTTTGGCCTAAAGTCTATGTCTTTCGTATTAGTACAGCTACTCTTGCCCTTTTTTTGTTTCCGTTTGCATAGAATACCTTTTTCCACCCCTTTGCTTTGAGTCTGTGTGTTCTTACAATTGAAGGGAGTCTCTTGTAGGCAGCATATGGTTGGGTCTTTTTTTTTTTTTTTTTAAATCCATTCAGCTATTCTATGTCAGCAGAATACATTTTTGAATTAATGAAGCAATGGAAGAAATAACAAGCCAGATTAGTATGGCTATATTAAAAATTTAAAATTTATAATTGAAAACATAATATAGCAGGATGAGACAGAAAGCACTAGAATGGAGAAATATTTGAGAGGTTTAAAAGTTAATATTATAGTATATGAGGACATATTTCTAAGATTATGTCAAGGGAACTTAGTATGTAAACAATGGTTCACACCATAGGAAACAAAATAACAAAATTATTGAATTATTTAATTTATGATCATTTTAAAATATAATCTTAATGCTGTGATATAAATAGTAACTGAACAAAAAATGATTCTAAAATCCTAGTAAAGCTGGTGAGAAATAAATATATTGCTTTAATTAGATTTATTTAACTAATATTTAGTCATTTGTAACGAACCTATTAAAATGACAATTTTTTTTTTTTTTTTGAGACGGAGTACGGAGTCTCGCTCTGTCGCCCAGGCTGGAGTGCAGTGGCGCAATCTTGGCTCACTGCAAGCTCTGCCTCCCAGGTTTGCGCCATTCTCCTGCCTCAGCCTCCTGAGTAGCTGGGACTACAGGCACCCGCCACCACGCCCGGCTAATTTTTTTGTATTTTTAGTAGAGACGGGGTTTCACTGTGGTCTCGATCTCCTCACCTTGTGATCCACCCGCATCGGCCTCCCAAAGTGCTGGGATTACAGGCGTGAGCCACTGTACCCGGCCTAAAATGACTATTTTTTATCCAGTAATCTTACCCTTAGAAATTTACCTTAGAGAAATAATTGAAAAGAATAAGAACTTTGGCCAGGCATGGTGGCTCATGCCTGTAATCCCAGCACTTTGGGAGGCTGAGGCAGGTGCATTGCCTGAGTTCAGGAGTTTGAGATGAGCCTGGGCAACATGGCAAAACCCCCATCTCCACCAAAAAGTACAAAAAATTAGCTGGGCATAGTGATGCATGCCTGTGGTCCCAGCTTCTTGGGAGGCTGAGGTAGGAGAATTGCTTGAGCCTGGGAGGTGAAGGTTGCAGTGAGCTGAGATCATGCCACTGCACTCCAACCTGGGTGACAGAGTGAGACCCCATCTCAAAACAAAAACAAAACAAAACAAAAAAGTAATAAGAACCTGATATGTAGGTCTTTTAAAACACATAATTTATATAGCAAAAACAATAAATAGATTTAAAAGGCTTTGAAGCCAGCCTAAATACTCAAAAGTATTTGATGGACTATAATACATATATTAAGTTACAAATATGCAAATTAGATAAAATCATGGAAACTTAATATTAAATAAAACAACAGAATGCAAGACTTAATGTATGCTCTACTTATTCATTTGTGAAGTTTACCTGTGAAGATTGTACAATTCCATAGTGACACAGTGATTTTTTTTTTTTTGAGACGGAGTCTTGCTCTGTTGCCACGCTAGAGTGCAGTAGTACGATCTCGGCTCACTGCAACCTCCAACTCCCTGGTTCAAGCAATTCTCCTGCCTCAGCCTCCCGAGTAGCTGGGATTACAGGCATGTGCCACCACGTCCAGCTAATTTTTGTATTTTTTAGTAGAGACGGAGTTTCACTATGTTGGCCAGGGTGGTCTTGATTTCCTTGACCTCCTGATCTACCTGCTTCGGCCTCCCCAAAGTGCTGGGGTTACAGACATGAGCCATGGCACCCAGCCCAGTCATTGTTTTAATACAAAATAATAGATAAATTTAAAGTATTGAAATTTAGAGGTTTCTTTTACATGTATGAAGGAAAAGTCATGACAGGATCTCCAGTTGGATATTTGTGTCCCCCAACAATCAACAGATGTTGAAAAACCCCTGGCAGTTGACCTGTTGTGCTTTTATTTACAGTGCTTGTTTCAGGTGCTGGTAAACGTTCCTCAGAGTCCAAAAGCCGGGAAGCCTAGCGTTGCAGCCGCCTCTGTCAGCACCCAGCACGGAGCTATCCTGCAGCTGAACGACACCTTGGAAGAGAAAGAAGTTTGTAGGTTTGTGCCTACTTTCTTGTGATCTAAGTGAAGTCTGAATTTTTTCTTTTTCTATTTTGGATTTAGCTTTTTTTCTCTTTACAATATTTTTCTTTATCTTTTCTGGTCTCTACCCAGGAACATGTATTATTCTGCCTTCATGACATTAGCAAAATCCAACTTCTTATTTTCTAATTTAACCATTTGTGTTAATTTTACCTAATCTTTGTAGACTGGAATACAGATTTGGAGAATTTGGAAACTATTCTCTCTTGGTAAAGAATATCCATAATGGAGTTAGTGAAATTGCCTGTGACCTGGCTGTGAACGAGGATCCAGTTGATAGTAACCTTCGTACGTATATGTTCTCTGCTGATTTTCACATTTGCATTTTCAGAGGTTTCAGCTTTTGAGTACTGTTTGTAAAGCAAAGCAGTCCGTGACACTTTCTGTAATTGAAAACCTAAATCTTAGATCATTGATGAGCATCTCTCCCCCGCAAAAAATCCACGTAAATTATAGGTTATTTATCCCACTTAGATATGGTATATTTATAATATGTTTATTGTATTATTTGTATATAATAATAAAATTATGTGACATTAAAAATTATTTATTGGCCTGGCATGGTGGCTCATGCTTGTAATCCCAGCACTTTGGGGGCCAAGGCAGGCAGCCCACTCAAGCTCACAAGTTTGAGACAAGCCTGGGTGACGTGGTGAAACCCCATCTCTATAAAAAATACAAAAATTAGCTGGGCCTGGTGGTGCATGCCTGTAGTTCCAGCTATTTGGGAGGCTGAGGTGGGAGGATGACTTGATCCTGGGAAGTGGAGGTTGCAATGAGTCAAGACTGTACCACTGCACTCCAGCCTGGGTGATAGAGCCAGACCTTGTCTCAAAAAAAAAATTATATAATATATCAATATATTCTCATAGTTTTTAGTTTAATTATGAAGCATTAATAAGCCAAAAAAGTTAATGCAGTGGAAAGAAACTAGAAATAGGGTAATCGACTGTCAAATATCTCTCCTTGTTTTAGGAGCAAGGGTATAGTGTTTCCTGTATGTCTTCCGCTGACAGTTCAGAGGTCCTCTTAGGTTAAGGAGGGACCGTTCATTGTCTAATAACCCCGATGAAGAAAATCTGCCATTCGGAGCTCCCCATTAGGTAACAATGTATGTGCTGCCTTTCAAAAGGCAGTGACAAATCCCTGTGGCATGAACAAGTACTGTTCACAGGGAAGCTATTAAAGACTGTGAGGTTATATCAAAAGAATGCAGGGACCAATATGAAAGGGCCAATGTAGGACAATTTAAGCATTAAGAAGAGTAATATATGTAATTGAAGAAAAATAATGTATAAAAACCATGAGGTCATATGAAACTAAAATGAGCAAGGCCTGCCTTCCCAAACAAAACAAAAACAATGCTTTGTCTTTATAGGTAACCAGAGCACCTGATGTTAACTGGGTGATTTAAAACTCAGTTGAAAGGAGAGATTTAAGCATTTATTTTGCCCATTTTTAACTGTAATTCAGGGTAACAAAATAGTCCCTGTTGAGGGAAAATTCTGTGGAGAAGAATTCCAGGTAATAAATACAGCAAAAGGGCAGGATATATTGCAACCCCTAATGAAGTAAGTGATTCAGGCATATACCATATGAGTGGATGAAACCACAAGGTGAAGAGGAATTTTTACCAGCTGAACACATCCACCAGTTATGGGGCAACTACAGCAGGTGCACTTTCAGTGTTGGCCAGGAAGTTATTGTTAATTTCATATGACATTGTGGTTATATAACCAAAGGCCCTTTTCAAAGATATTTTTAGCTTTGAAATAGTTTTAGATTTGTAGAAGTGTTGCAAAAAGAGTTCCCAAATATCCCTCACCTAGCTTCCCCTGAACTGTAAAATCACAGCATAATTATCCCACATACAATTACCGAAACCAGGAACTTAACATTGTTCTTAACATTGAACTTAATATTGAAACAGTACTGATCGGGATTATTTTAATTTCTCTAAATGTTCTTTTCAATATCCTTCTCCAGTGCTGAATTTGATGTAGGATCCCACACTGCATTTAGCTTTCAGATCTCCTTCGTCTCCTCTAGTCTAGGACAGTTCCTCAGTCTTTCTTTGTCTTTCATGACCTTGATGGTTTGAAGGGTAATGTCTGGTTATTTTTTTTTTTTTTATTTTATTTTTATTTTTTTATTTTATTTTATTTTTCTCAGTTTAAGTATAATTGACAAATAAAAATTGTATACATTTAAGGTACACACGTGATGTTTTGATATATGTATGAATTATAAAATGTAACAAGCTAATGCCTCTATCTCTTCAAATAGTTACCTATTTTTCTATAGTGAGAACAATTAAGATTAAGATCTACTTTTTAAGCAAATTTTAATTATACAATGCTTTGCTATTAACTACAATCACCATAATGTACATAAGATCTCCAGGACTTTTTCATCTTTTTTTTTTTTTTTTTTTCCAGTTACCCAAATGTTTGTTTTTATTTTTATTTTTTATTTTTTTATTTTTTTAAAATTTATTTATTATTATTATACTTTAAGTTGTAGGGTACATGTGCATAACGTGCAGGTTTGTTACATATGTATACTTGTGCCATGTTGGTAATGTCTGGTTATTTTGTCAATTGTCCTTGATTTGGATTTGCTTGATGTTTGGTGTTTTCTCATGAATAAGTGGAGGTTTTGCATTTTTTAGTGGAATACGGCAAAAGCGAGCCTGGGTCCTTCTCAGTGCCTTGTGTCAGAAGGCGTACAGTGTCAGGCTGTCTTTACAAGGGCTTTAGAGACACATTCTGAAGTATGTAGGGATGAAATAACATGATGTCTTGGATTCTTAAAGAAATACTTTAGCCAGAAAAAGCAGGACAAGGGGGTGGTTGGGTAGTTATAGATGAAGCAACAGGGACAATATCTTGACAATTCTAGGATCTGGGTGATGGGTTATATATAGGTTGATGGTACCATTCTTTGTGCTTTTGTTTGTGTTGGATACTTTTTGTAATGACAGTTATCACTCCCTTCACGGTGAGCATTCTCAATTATTTATAGGAAATTCAGCATGAGAATATAGGCTTCCCTCATTGGTTTTCCTTTATAGATTAAATATAATGATGTGATGTCTTTGATGTTCATGATGACCTTTTTGGGGGCTAATGTGTTTTCTTCTCTTTTCTAGCTGTGAGCATTGCATTCCTTATTGGTCTTGCTGTCATCATTGTGATATCCTTTCTGAGGCTCTTGTTGAGGTAAGATATTTGGGGAGGATGCCACTGGAAAGGCAGAGCATAGAAATAACACATTCAGAAGGCGCAGCTGTCACCTTCAAGCGCCCATCATTCTTTGATGATACGAACATTTCTGTGTCCCCTATGTTCAACCAGTGCTAGGCTTCAGGGACTCATGTAGACTAAGACGTAGTCTCTGACTTCAGGGAAGTGATAATAAAGGTGATTATGGATTTTTGCCTTCTGTCCTCCCACATGGGTGAAGAGGAAGAAAATGCTTGAGAAATCATTATTTCCTAAAGCATCTGTCTTTTTAGCGAGCAGAAGTGGCTCGTGACAATTTTAGGAGGAGGTTGCTGCACTGGACTCCCCTCCCCCTCTCTGGCGCTGAGGCGCCTTCTAGTCCAGTTGCCCAACCTCTGCCAGCCCAGGCATCTGGTGGCACAGATGTGTGCCTGGTGGCTGTTCCTCTGGACCTCGCATGGACTCCCTGTCCCTTGGTTAGTTTGTTAGCCAACATGGAGAAGGGACTGGTCCTGCTCGCATGGTGAACAGTGATTCTGGTAAGAGTGAATTAGTAGACTAGAAAAAGAAAGTAAAATGGATTTTAGTTAACTTCCAAAGGAAAGTTTTTTTCATGTTTTAAAAAGAATATGAGTGAATTTTCTCATGCTTATCTTGTTACGGTGTCAAGAAGAACCACAAGATTTTAGAATTAGAAGAATGAAAACCTAACCTCTAAGTCGACTCGTGGGAAACCCTGAAGCTTTGGGGAATTTCTGTACTGTGATACTGTAGCTTTGTACATCTTAGAAATAGTATAATTCTATGTATGAGGACCCCGACTGTGTATAGGGTAAAAGAACCACTTGTTGCCCAGAAGCCAGTGTGTAACCTAACTGTTTTTTAGGGATAGAGGAAGATTCTAGCAGTGGAGTTTCATTTCTTTGAGTTAAGGTATTATCTCATCAACCTTTTGATAAAATGCGAATGCTATTTCAGTGTATCAGGATGCTTTTCACATGAATGGATCTATTATGGATTTTTTTTTTTTTTTGAGACAGCCTCACTCTTGTCATCCAGGCTGGAGTGCAGTGGTGCCATTATGGCTCACTGCAGCCTCGACTCCCTGGGCTCAGGTGCTTCTCCCACCTTAGCCTTCTAAGTAATGGGGACTACAGGCATGCATCACTATGCCCAGATAATGGTTTTTGTTTTTGGTTTTTTTTTGTATTTTTAGTGGAGATGGGGTCTTGCTATGTTGCCCAGGCTGGTCCTGAACTCCTGGACTCAAGTGTTACATCTGTCTCTGACCCCCAGAGTACAGGGATTATAGGCATGAGTCACCACACCTGGTCATGTTACATGACTTTTTGAAGTAATTGATAGCTAGGCCGGGAGCGGTGGCTCATGCCTGTAATCCCAGCACTTTGAGAGGCCAAGGAAGGTGGATCACTTGAGGCCAGGAGTTTGAGACCAGCCTGGTCAACATGATAAAACCCCATTTCTACTAAAAATACAAAAAGTAGCTAAGTGTGGTGACGGGTGCCTGTAGTCCCAGCTACTCGGGAGGCTGAGGTACAAAAATTGCTTGAACCTGGGAGGCGGAGGTTGCAGTGATCTGAGATTGCGCCACTGCACTCCAGCTGGGGAGTCTCAAGAAAAAAAAGTCATTGATAGCTGAGATCAAGCATTTTCAAAGGGAAGAAATTCCACCTTGCCCCATGTGGAACTGAAACTACTCAGCACATGATGCTGCCCTTCCAGCCTGCGGGCAGAATACTCTTCTTGATAAAGCAGGAGTCCCTTATTCCTCACCCCCTGGTTTTCCAACGCAACCAGGGAGGTTCAGATGACTGTGAGCCAAAAAAGAACCAGAAAAAGTCAAGAGAATAAAGAGCCTCCCTCCTTTTCACTTAGGCAACAGGCATGAACAAGAAAATTATGTTTTTTTGTTTTATTTTTAAAACTGTTAACTTTTCCCTTTCACCCTTCTTTATTTTTTTTATTATTATTATTTTTTGAGATGGAGTCTCACTGTTGCCCAGGCTGGAGTGCAGTGGCGTGATCTCTGCTCACTGCAACCTCTGCCTCTGTGTTTCAAGAAATTCTCTGCCTCAGCCTCCCGAATAGCTGGGATTACAGGCGTGTGCCACCACACCCAGCTAATCTTTTTGTTTGTATTTTTAGTAGAGATGAGTTTTCAGCATCTTGGCCAAGCTGGTCTTGAACTCCTGACCTCCTGATCCACCTGTCTCGGCCTCCCGAAGTGCTGGGATTATAGTTAATGAGCCACCATGCCTGGTCACACTTCTTTAGATGTGTCTGTTTTAACATTTTGCATGTGATGGTGATGTTATCCATGTTGAATAAACTAGAAATGAGAGTTGAGTTGTGAGGGAAAAAGAGTAATTGCAAATGTATGCCTTGGATGTATGGATTATGTTTGGATACTGAATCGAACCACTGAACTGTAAAAACATGTATGAGACAGGGAAACTGAACTGGCTATGTGACGATATTAAGGAATTACTGCTAACATTTTAAAATGTGATAAGGGTATTGTGGTTATGTTTAGAAATAAAAATAGTCCATATCTATTAGAGATACATACTAAAGTGTTTATGCCTGAAATTATATGATGTCTAGGATTTTCTGAAAAACAATCTAAGGCAGGAATGAGGGACAGTGGGTGAGAGGACAGATGAAGTAAGACTGGCCATGTGTAGGTACTTGTGGAAGCTGGATGATGGAGGTCCATTATTCAGGCAAACCCTTTGTTACTGTGCTTTGCTTTATTGCACTTCACAGATGTTGCATGTTTTACAAATTAAAGGTTCGTGGCAACCCTGCATCCAGCAATTCCTTTTTTTTTTTCTGAGACATGGTCTCATTCTGTCTCCCAAGTTGGAGGGCAGTGGTGCCATCACAGCTCACTGCAGCCTTGACCTCCCACACTGCAGCCCTTTTGATTTAAAGTGAGAGACATGCAGCCGGGCATGGTTTCTCATTCCTGTAATCCCAGCACTTTGAGTGGCCAAGGCTGTCGGATCGCTTGAGCTCAGGAGTTCGAGACCAGCCTGGCCAACATGGTGAAATCCCATTTCTACTAAAAATAGAAAAATTAACTGGGTGTGGTGGCGCACGCCTGTAATCCCAGGTAATCGGGAGGCTGAGGCACGAGAATTGCTTGAACCCAGGAAGTGGAGGTTTGCAGTGAGCTGAGATTGTGCCACTGTGCTCCAGCCTGGGTGACAGAGTGAGACTCCATGTCAAAAAATAAAAAAGTGAGAGACGTGCAACTCTTTCTTTTACTCACTTAGAAGCCATTGTAGGGTAATTAATTGGCCTAATTTCAATATTGTATCTGAATGAATAGAGAGGCCCAAAGAGAGGGAGGGAGATGGGGAAACAGTCAGAACATACTCAACACTTACTGACCTTATTGACCTCCCAGGTGCAAGCAATCCTCCCACCTCAGCCTCCCAAGTAGCTGGGACTAGAGGCATGTACCACCACTATAATTTTTTTTTTTTTTTGAGTAGAAATGAGGTTCTCACTGTGTTGCCCAGGCTTGCGTTGAGTAACTCTGTTGGCACCATTTTTCCAACAGCATGTACTCACTTCTTGTCTTTGCATTACATTTTGGTAATCATTATAATATTTCAAACTTTTTCATTAATATTATATCTGTTATGGTAATCTGTGATCAATGATCTTTGATGTTCCTACTGTAATAGTTTTGGGATGCCATCAACCCCACCTATATAAGATGGTGAACTTAATTGGTAAGTGTTGTGTGTATTCTGACTGCTCCACGCACTGACTGTTCCCCCATTTCTCTCCCTTTCTTTGGGCTTCTCTATTCTTTCAGATACAACGGTATTGAAATTAGGCTAATTAATTACCCTACAATGGCTTCTGAGTGTTTGAGTAAAAGAAAGAGTTGCGTGTCTCTTATTTTAAATCAAAAGCTAGAAATGATTAAGCTTAGTGAGGAAGGCATATGGAGGGCCATGACAGGCTGAAAGCTGGGCCTCTTGTACCAAACAGTTAGCCAAGTTGTGAGAGTTATTGAAGAAAATTAAATGTGCTACTCCAGGGAACACACAAATTATAAGAAAGTGAAACAGGCTGGGCTTAGTGGCTCAGACCTGTAATCCCAGCATATTGGGAGGCTGAGACCAGACGCTTGAAGTCAGGAGTTTGAGATCAGCCTGGCCAACATGGCAAAATCCCATCTCTACTAAAAATACAAAAGTTAGCTGGGCATGATGGTGTGCGCCTGTAGTCCCAGCTTCTCTGGAGGCTGAGGCCAGAGAATTGCTTCAACCTGGGAGTTGGAGGTTGCAGTGAGCTGAGATTGCTCCACTGTACTCTAGCCTGGGCAAAGGAGCTAGACTCTGTATCAAATAAATAAATAAATAGAAAAAAAAGGAAAATGAAACAGCCTTACTGCTGATACGGAGAAAGTTTGAGTGGTCTCGATAGAGGATCAAACTATTCCCTTAAGCCAAAGCCTAATCGAGGGCAAGGCTCTCGCTCTTTTCAGTTCTGTGGAGACTAAGAGAAGTGAGGAATCTGCCGAAGAAAAGTTGTAAACTAGCAGAGGTTGGTGCAGGAGGTTTAAGGAAGGAAGCCGTCTTCATAACATAAAAATGCAAGGTGAAGCAGCAAGTGCTGATGGAGAAGCTGCAGGAAGTTATCCAGAAGATCCAGCTGAGATCATTGATGAAAGTGGCTACACTAACAACACAGTTTCAATGCAGATCAAACAGCCTTCTATTGGAAGAGGATGCCATCTAGGACTTTTAAAAGCCAGGAAGGAGAATTCAGAACTTCACAAGATAGGCTGACTCTCTTGTTAGGAGCTAATGCAACTGGTGACTTTAAGTTGAAGCCAGTGCTCATTTACCCATTCTGGAAATCCTAGGGCACAAGAATTATGCTAAGTCTCCTCTGCCTGTGCTTAATAAATGGAACAGCAAAGCCTGGATGACAGCACATCTGTTTACAGCATGGCTTACTGACTATTTTAAGCCCACTGTCGAGACCTACTTATCAGAAAAAAATATTTCTTTCAAAATATTATTGGTCATTGACAATGCAGCAAGTCCAATGGAAATGTACAGGCAGATGAATGTTGTTTTCATGCCTGCTAACACAATATCCATTCTGCAGCCCATGGATCAAGGAGTAATTTTGATTTTCAAGTCTTACTATTTAAAAAATAGATTTTATAAAGCTATATAGCTGCCATAGATAGTGATTCCTCCAATGAATCTGGGCAAAGTCCGTTGAAAACCTTCTGGAAAGGATTCACCATTGTAGATGCCATTAAGAAATTTGTGATTCATGGGAGGAAGTAAAATTATCAACATTAGCAGGAGTTTGGAGGAAGTTGATTCTAGCCTTCATGGATGACTTGGGGGTTTAAGACTTCAGTGGAGGAAATAACTGCAGATGTGGTGGAAATAAAGAAAACTAGAATTAGAAGTGAAGCCTGAAGATGTGACTGAATTGCTGCAATCTTATGACAATACTTGACAGATGAGGAGTTGCTTCTTACAGATGAGCAGAGGAAGTGGTTTCTCAAGATGGGATCTATTCCTGGTAACCATGTTGTGAACATTGTTGAGATAACAAGAAAGGATTTAGAATATCACGTAAATGTAGTTGATAGAGCAGAGGCAGAGTTTGAGAGAATTGACTCTAATTTTGAAAGAAGGTCTAACTGTGGGTAAAATTCTGTCAAACAGCATTGCATGCTACAGAGAAATCTGTGAAAGGAAAAGTTAATGTGGCAAACTGTATTGTCTTGATTGCGGAAATTGCCACAGCCACCTCAACCTTTGGCAGCCACCACCCTGACCACTCAGCAGCCATCAACATGGAGGCCAGATCCTCTACCAGCAAAAAGATTAGGACTTGCTGAAGGCTCAAATAATCATTAACTTTTTATTAGAAATACATTTTTAAATTAAGGTGTGTAAACTGTCTTTTTGTGCATAATGGTATTGCACACTTAATAGACTAGAATATAGTGTAATATATAGCTTTTATGTACACTGGGTCACAGCAAATTTGTGTGAATCACTGTATTGTGATATTGGGCTTATTGTGGTGGTCTGGGACCAAGCCTGCAGTGTCTCGAGCTATGCCTATACTGGTTTCTCTGCTTCTGTATATGCTGAACTGTTCATGACCAAAAAATAAAAGGGGAAAAAATCCTATGCACTGAATAATTTGTTTATGCCAGGATAGGGTATACTTTTCAAACGATTTTTTTGCAGGTAGAAATCTCATTTTTAAGAAAAACCAGTTAATATATTTATCTTTTGTTAGTCATGTGAATCAATTTAATGTCATCTGGATTTCTTTTTTTTTTTTTTTTTTTTTTTTTGTGGAGACAGAGTCTCGCTGTGTCGCCCAGGCTGGAGTGCAGTGGTGCCATCTTGGCTCACTCCACGCTCCGCCTCCCGGGTTCCCTCCATTCTCCTAACTCAGCCTCCCAAGTAGCTGGGACTACATGTGCCTGCCACCACGCCTGGCTAATTTTTTTGTATTTTTAGTAGAGATGGGGTTTCACCCTGTTAGCCAGGATGGTCTTGATCTCCTGACCTCGTGATCTGCCCATCTCGGCCTCCCAAAGTGCTGGGATTGCAGGCATGAGCCACCCGCCCGGCCTGGATTTCTTTTTGAATTAAAGCAACCATATTAAAAAAGAACCCAGTACATTAACTATTTGAATAGGTTTTTGTTTTTTGTATTTAATAGTTTATCTTTTTTTTTTTTTTTTTTTTTTTTTTTGGAGTCCAGTGATGTGATCTTGGCTCACTTCAACCTCCCTCCACCTCCTGGGTTCAAGCGATTCTCCTGCCTCAGCCTCCTGAGTAGCTGGGAATCCAGGCGTGTACCACCACGCCCGGCTAATTTTTGTATTTTTAGTAGAGACACGGTTTCACCATGTTGGCCAGGCTGGTCTCGAACTCCTGACCTCAAGTGATCCACCCACCTCGGCCCCTCAAAATGCTGGGATTATAGGCATGAGCCACCATGCCTGGCCTAATAGTTTATATCTTCATCTTCATGTTTCTTTGTGTGGGCAGAGCCCACATTCTTTTACTTTCATGGCTCTATCACATCCTATCACACAGCTGTCATAGTCTGTGTTTAGTCATCCTTGTTTTGAGTAAATTTGATTGTTTCCAACTTTTTGCTATTTTAATTTTAATAGTATTATTAGTGAGAATCCCAGCCATGGGAAACAGTTATCTCATTTACCTTCTCAAGTCTTTAATGAAAGCTCTGTCGTCATTCCTGTTTTATTGATGAGGAAACTATGCTGTCAGGGTTGAGCATTTATAAGTAGAGCTGCTGAAAACTGTGATTTCTATTTTTATATTGTTAAAAAATGTTTAGAATGTTTAATTAGTAATATAGAATATGAACTTTAATTTTATTTCAATATAATATCTGATCATTTAAAAAATTCTGCCAATGAAAATAAAATAATTGGCCCTTTAATTTATTTTCAGTTTGGATGACTTTAACAGTTGGATTTCTAAAGCCATAAGTTCTCGAGAAACTGATCGCCTCATCAATTCTGTAAGTTATGAGATGCATAGTGTGTTGCCCAGGTGGTTTTCTGAACTTGGAATTTATAGTTTCCTATTTAATCATTATTGTCCAGTTTTATATTTACATTGAGGAAGGCCAGGTTATAGGTCCTGTATTCCTAATAGAGAGCAGCCCTCTCTTCAGCTGCTGGGAAGGGCTCCATCCCTTCTCTTGCTTCAGTGACGCTGGAACATTCTGCTCTATCTGGATACCCGAGGTAGAGACATTTTTCACTCTGCAGGCAGCATTTTTGAATCAATCTAGTTAAGTAGAGAGTGTCAAGGTTAAAACAAAGAAATAAGAGACAACAATATTAAATCTATGAATGCTGATGGCCTCCTCTGATGATTTAAATATGTCATTAAATTTTTGTTAATAAATTCAGGCTCATATATGGAGATGTTGGCTTCTGTGCTTGTGCTAGATGCACTTATGGACTAGTTTTTTTGGTACCATTTATCAACGTGGCCACTGGCAAACTCAGTAAAAGGCAGGAAAAGCTGATAAAGTAGAAAACCAGACCTCTAGATGGGATCTTTACAAAAGGAAATCCAAGTATTGTTTAGAAAAACTTTTTTATTTTTTGAGACCGGATTTTACTCTATTGCCAAGGCTGGAGTGCAGTGCCACGGTCTCAGCTCACTGCAGCCTCAACCTCCTGGGCTCTTCCCACCTCAGCCTCCCAAGTAGCTGGGACTACAGGTGCGTGCCACCACACCTGGCTAATTTTTGTATTTTTTTGTAGAGACAGGGTTTCACCATGTTGCCCAGGCTGGTCTCAAACTCTTGGGCTCAAGGGATTTGCCCTCCTCTGCCTCCCAAAGTGCTGAAATCACAGGTGTGAGCCACTGCGCCTGCAGAAAAACTATTTTTTAGCTTTCTACACTATTTTTAGATTTCTACTATATCACATTCTTTCCTAAAGAAATAAAAAAATGATGCCGGTTGTGGTGGCTCATGCCTGTAATCCCAGCACTTTGGGATGCTGAGGTGGGCAGATCATGAGGTCAGGAGTTTGAGACCAGCCTGACCAACATGATGAAACCCCATCTCTACTAAAAATACAAAAATTAGCTGCATGTGGTGGTGCATGCCTGTAATTCCAGCCATGCAGGAGGCTGAGGCAGGAGAATCGCTTGACCCCGGGAGGTGGAGGTTGCAGTAAGCCAAGATCATGCCATTGCACTCCAGGCTGGGCGACAAAGTGAGACTCTGTCTCAAAAAAACAAAACAAAACAAAACAAAAAATAAATCAAAAAATGACAAAATGAAATTTACTCCTTAGCATTATGAATTGTCATCTTTCTCTCTTTTTTTCTGAAGGAGCTGGGATCTCCCAGCAGGACAGACCCTCTAGATGGTGATGTCCAGCCAGCAGTGTGGCATCTGTCTGTCCCGCCGCCCCGCCTCCGCAGCGTGGACACCTTCAGAGGGTATGTGGGCATCCCTATAGCACAGTGGGTGCAGGTAGTCACAGGACTACATAATTACACCTATACACACTTTTAGCTTTTAAGGACTTTTACATATCTTTTACTTTCTAGGCTAGGAAGGATTTCTTGGATGTAAAAGTAAAGTCTGTAGCCTCTCTAGTCTGGAAGACCATCATGATCCTCAGTGTCTATGTTGACAGAGGAGTAGTGGATGAGGCTAGAGCCAGTGTCCACTTGGATATGCGGTCTGCTGAGTGAAGCGCATTTTTATTTGGGCAAGTGGCTGTTACTTGGGGCTACAGACTGTGCCCCATGTCCAGTCAGTAGCTTGATGGCTCAGAAGATGCACTAGTCTAGTGAGGAAACACCAGCATGTGGCAGAGGGAGGGCTGATCCTGTGCTGCTAGCAGAGCGACTCGAGTATCAGGCCCTCATGCTAGCAAACCCATAGCCCTGGGAGAAGAACAAAGGCCAGGACTGAAATCTGAAAATAAAGTTTAAAAACTGTATAGCTAAGAATAAATATACAGGTATCAGCTCTTTTATTTCTACATACTGAAGCCTTCTGAACTCTAGTGACAACCCTATAACTTTGCCCCAGTCGCACCAGAGCCCTGAGTGCCCTGGCAGGTAGATTGGAAGCAGGTAGTAAGAACAATATGATCATAATGAAACTTGCTAACAATTTTGGAGTTCTCATAATGTGCCAGTCACTGTTCTAAGTCGCCTTAATTTATTTAATATCTTAGTAATCCTATGAGATACATACTTTTAATATGCCCAATTCACATTAAAAGGAAAAGAAATTGTGCTGCCGAGTGAAGCAACTTGCCCAAGGTCACTCAGGTATCAAATAGGAAAGCCAGGGTTTGATTGCAGGCGCTTGGGTTACAGAGTCTCCCAAATTAGCCTGTTGACACCTAAGGTCAGCACCCTCAGCATTCTGCACAGTTAGCCTCAAACAGTAGCACATCCGGGATCTATTACTCTGTCTTTCAGATTTCCATTGCTACTTTTGGAGATAAGATGGTCACAGATAGACAGGAACTAACATTTATTAAGTGTCTAAAATATGCTGGGCACTGGTTAGCTGCTGTAAAATAAGTCATTCTCCTTAAAAGTAACATGTGGTTAGGGCACTTTCTTTTACAGATGAGCACACTCAGTTTACTGATGAGAACGTTGCCCAGGGTCTTATGGCTAATGACAGAAAAGGATCCAAGATCAGAATTCTGAGCTCGCTGACTCAGCTGGCTGTGTGCCTCCTACTAGAGTTCTTTAACCTGAGACATCTAAATAATTAGCTCAAAATTGAGTTATTGGAAATATTTTGCTATGTTTTCAGGTTACATAGTTTAAGACAGCAGTATAAACTTTGGTTAACTCATCATGTTGGCAATGTTGGCAATGAAGAACTGTAGTGCATGGTCCTAATTGCAATGATTAGAAAATAATCGCTTTTTGGCCTTGATGTCTCATCTTGTGTAACAAAATGCTCAGTAGAATTGCATTGTTGCATGATTGCACCTTGTGAGTATAAATGTGTCTTCAGTTCAGCCCTTCCTTTTCACATAGCAAACCCTGAAAGGCTTCTCTTTGTTGGCTTCTTCTAGGATTGCTCTCATACTCATGGTCTTTGTCAATTATGGAGGAGGAAAATATTGGTACTTCAAACACGCAAGCTGGAATGGTAAGATATTTCCTAAAAGTAATGTTGCTTACATACATCCTTCACAGAGCTTCAGGGCAGGAGAATCACTCAGCATTCTCCCCAGAAACTCCAGAAATGAGCCCCAGCAGCCTCTTCTGAGCCACTGAACTCCTGCTGTCTAGGGTGACCTGTAGATGATGTTTCTGTGAGCCCTTTAGTTTTGTTCTTCCTTTTGTGTGCTGTGGATCTGTAAAGCTTCACTGTAATAACAGACTCTAGAAGTTTCTGCTGTGGGACTGAGGGACTCTGCAGAATATGTTATGGATTTGGTTGTAAATGATCATGGTCATATTCTAGATATGCCTTTTATTACAGCCACAATGCTCTTGGGGGCTCTGTCTTCTAGGACTTATGGTCCTTTTTGAGATGGTGTTGAACTAGGATTGGTCTGAGTGGTGGTGAATAATAGCTGTAAGTCTGGCTTGGTAGTTGCTTTAAGAATGGTTTAGTGCAGCTGGGCGCGGTGGCTCACGCCTGTAATCCCAGCACTTTGGGAGGCCGAGGAGGGCGGATCACAAGGTCAGGAGATCGAGACCATCCTGGCTAACACGGTGAAACCCCGTCTCTACTAAAAATACAAAAAATTAGCCCAGTGTGGTGGCAGGCGCCTGTAGTCCCAGCTACTCAGGAGGCTGAGGCAGGAGAATGGCGTGAACCCGGGAGGCGGAGCTTGCAGTGAGCTGAGATCGCACCACTGCACTCCAGCCTGGGCCGCAGAGCGAGACTCCGTCTCAAAAAAAAAAAAAAAAAGAATGGATTAGTGCTTCTTAAAGATAACAAACTTGTCTACATATTTCTAGTTTGGTTCTCCTGTGTCTAGTTATGTTCATAGGAAGTGTCCTAGCCAGGCCCAGTGCTTGGTTGCAGAGTCTCAAGGAAGAGTTTGTGAGTTTACTTTCTTTTTTTTAAGGCAGAGTCTTGCTTTGTAGCCCAGGCTAGATTGCAGTGGTGTGATAACAGCCGACCACAGCCTCAACCTCCTGGGCTCAAGCAGTCCTACCACCTCAGCCTCCTGAGTAGCTGGGGCTACAGGTGTGTGCCACTATAACTGGCTAGTTTTTTAAAACAATTTTTAGTAGAGATGGTGTCTCTTTCTGTCGCCCAGGCTGCTCTCAGACTCCTGGGCTCAAGTGATCCTCCCACCTCAGCCTCGCATAGTGCTGGGATTACAGGTGTGAGCCACACCACACCTGACCTATGAGTTTACTTTCTTTCTTTCTCTTTTCTTTTTTGTTTGAGATGGAGTTTTACTCTTGTCACCCAGGCTGGAGTGCAATGGCACGATCTTGGCTTATTGCAACCTCTTCCTTCCATGTTCAAGCGATTCTCCTGCCTCAGCCTCCCAAGTAGCTGGAATTACAGGCACCTGCCACCACGCTCGGCTAATTTTTGTATTTTTAGTAGAGATGGGGTTTGACCATGTTGGCCAGGCTAGTCTTGAACTCCTGACCTCAGGTGATATGCCCGCCTTGGCCCCGCAAAGTGTTGAGATTACAGGCATGAGCCACCGCGCCTGGCCCTGAGTTTGTTTTCTATACCAGTGTGTAATGAAGTCCACACCAGATTTAGGAGGTATTTGTATTCTAGAGTCCTTTTGCTTATGCTTTGTACTTGTTCTGCAGGGCTGACGGTGGCTGACCTCGTGTTCCCGTGGTGAGTTGGCAGTCTGCCCTCTTCTCTTCCACAGATTGACTCCAATCTCCTGTTTTACAGATGATGCTGGAGCCTTTCTCTGAGGCGGGCATGTGTTATGTGGTTAGGAATCCTTCCAAAAGTCCTGTTACTGGATAGTTCTCATACTTGACACAGTGCCTACACATGTGTGTATAAAAGAGTGATTTTGGGCCAGGCGCAGTGGCTCACGCCTGTAATCCTAGCACTTTGGGAGGCCGAGGCGAGCGGATTACCTGAGGTCAGGAGTTCAAGATCAGCCTGGCCAACATGGTAAAACTCCGTCTCTACTAAAAATACAAAAAATTAGCTGGGTGCAGTGGCACGCGCCTGTAATCCCAGCTCCTCGGGAGGCTGAGGCAGGAGAATCGCTTGAACCCAGGAGGCGGAGGTTGTGGTGAGCAGAGATTGCGCCACTGCACTCCAGCCTGGGTGACAGAGTGAGACTTCATCTCAAAAAAAAAAGTGATTTTGTAGGGAATATTTTGTTAGTGTAGATATGATATGCTAGATCATGAAATATTGTAAGAAATTATAAATTCTGAACATATAGTTCAGTTCCATTAATCCCGAAAATAATTATAAAATCCTATTTCCTAAAGAATTACAGTATATTGATTTCAGTGAATGCTAATGCATTTGTAGGTGGGCAATGATAGTCATAAACTAAAATTTAAAATAACAGCTGAGTAATTCAATTCTGTCTCTGATCATCCATGGCTTCTCATTCTTGCAAAGGAACATTACCTATATGATGTGGAATTTGTATCTTTGCTATGATGTATTGAGTGACATTGCTCCCTCATTAGCAGGTAGTATCAGCCTTATTATTGTTATTTTTTATTTCAAATTTTAAATTTTTGTGGGTATACAAAGTATATACTATGGTATACATGAGATATTTTGATGCAGGCATACAATACATAATAATCACATCAGGGTAAATGGGGTATCCATCCCCTCAGGCATTTACCATTTTGTGTTATAAACAATCCAATTATAATTTTTTAGTTATTTTTAAATGTACAGTAAATTATTGTTGACTGTAGTCACCCTGTTGTGCTATGAAATACTTGATCTTATTCATTCCATCCAGCTGTATTTTTGTACTCATTAACCATCCTCCCTCCTTCCCTCCCCACTACCCTTCCCTTCTGGTATCCATCCTTCTACTGTCTATCACCCTGAGTTCAGTTTTTTTAATTTTTAGCTCCAAAAATAAGTGGAACATGTGAAGTTTGTCTTCACATGGCTTATTTCACTTAACATAGTGTCCTCCAGTTCCATACATGCTGTTGCAAATGACAGGATCTAATTCTTTTTTATGGTTGAATGGCACTCTGTTGTGTATATGTACCATATTTTCTTTCTAAGTGTCTGTTGATGGATGCTTAGTTTGCTTCCAGATCTTGGCTATTGTGAATAGTGCTGCAATAACGATGGGAGTATCTCTTCAATATACTGATTTCGTTTCTTTTCCATATATTCCCAGCAGTGGGATTGCTGGATCATACGGTACCTCTATTTTTAGTTTTTGAGGAACCTCTAACCTATTGTCCATGGTGATTGTACTAACTTACATTCCCACCAACAGTGTACAAGGGTTCCCTTTTCCCCATATCCTCACTAGCATTGGTTATTGCTGTCTTTTGGATAAAAGCCATTTTAAGTGGGGTAAGATGATATCTCATTGTAACTTTGACTTGCATTTCTCTGATGAACAATGATGTTGAGCACCATTTCATATTCCTGTTTGCCATTTGTATGTCTTCTTTTGAGAAATGTCTGTTCAGATCTTTTGTCTTTTTTTTTTTTTTTTTGAGACTAAGTCTTGCTCTGTAGTCCAGGTAGGAGTGCAGTGGCGTGATCTTGGCTCATCGCAACCTCCGCCTCCTGGGTTCCAGAGATTCTCCTGCCCTAGCCTCCCGAGTAGCTGGGATTACAGGTGCGCACCACCACACCTGGCTTTTTTTGTGTACTTTTAATAGAGACAAAGTTTCACCATGTTGGTCAGGCTGGTCTTGAACTCCTGACCTCAGGTAATCTGCCCACCTTGGCCTCCCAAAGTGCTAAGATTACAAGTGTAAGCCACCGAGCCCGGCCTTTTAATCCATTTTTAATTGGATTATTATACTTTTTTTCCTGTAGAGGTGTTTGAGCTCCTTATATGTTCTGGCTGTTAATCACTTGTTTGCAAATATTTTCTCCCATTCCATGGGTTGTCTCTTCACTTTGTTGGTTGTCTTCTTTTCTGTGCGGAAGCTTTTCACTTGATACGATCCCATTTGTCCATTTTTGCTTTGGTTACTTGTGCTTGTATGGAGTGTTAATCAAGAAATCTTTGCTTAGTCCAGTGTCCTGGAGTGTTTCCCAAATGTTTTCTCTTAGTTTCATAGTTTGAGGTCTCAAGTTTAAGTCTTTAATCCATTTTGATATGATTTTTTTTTTTAATATGCTGAGCAATAGGGGTCTAGGTTCATTCTTCTGCATATGAATATCCAGTTTTCCAGCATCATTTTTTTGAAGAGACTGTCCTTTCTCCAATGTGTATTCTTGGCACTTTTGTCGAAAATGAGTTCACTAGATATATGGATTTAGCTCTGAGTTATCTGTTCTGTCCCACTATCTATGTGTCTAATTTTATGCCACTACCATGCTGTTTCTGTTTCTATAGCTCTGTGGTATAATTTAAAGTCAGGTAATGTGATTCCTCCAGTTTTGTTCTTCTTGCTCAGGATAACTTTGACTACACTGGGTCTTTTGTGGTTCCATATAAATTTCAGCATTATTTTTTTCTATTTCAGTGAAGAATGTTACTGATATTTTGATAGGGATCGCATTGAATCTGTAGATTGCTTTAGGTAGTGTGAACATTTTAACAATATTAATTTTTCTAATTTATGAACATGGAATTTCTTTCCATTTTTTGGTGCCCTCTTCAATTTCTTTCATCAGTGGTTTATAGTTTTCATTGTAGAAATCCTTCTCTTCTTTGGTTAAGTTAATTTTGAGGCACTTTATTTTATTTGTGGCTATTGGAAATGGAATTACTTTCTTGATTTCTTTTTCAGGTTGTTTTCTGTTGGCATATAGAAATACTACTGAGTTTTGTATGTTGATTTTGTATCCTGCAACTTTACTGAATTTGTTGATCAGTTCTAATAGTTTTCTGGTGGAATCTAGGTTTTTCCAAACATAAGATCATGTTATCTGCAAACAAGGATACTTTGACTTCCTCCTTTCCAACTTGGATGCCCTTTGTTTCTTTTGTCTGATTGTTCTAGCTAGGACTTCCAGTGCCATGTTGAATAACAGTGGTGAAAAGCAGGCATCTTTGTCATATTCCAGATCTTGGAGGAAAGGCTTTCAGTTTTTCCCAGAGACACCAAGGAATGCAGCAAGAACAAATTTTCATCTCTGTGATCTGTTGCCAAGCAATTAGAAAAATCAGTATTCTAACTTTTTTTTTTTTAATATAATTTAGTTTGGTCAAAGAAAAGAAAGGAAAAATGTGTATGACTCAGACTAAATGGAGAGAAAAAAGTAAGCTTTCATTTTTCTTTCAGGCGCAGAAGTGTGTATAGAAATGATTGAAATGTCTGTTTGTTTTTCAAGGGCTTTGAGGGTGTGCTAGTGAATGTCTAGTTACTTGGAGACATTATTGTGGCATCGAATCATCATTTCTTTTTGATAACGAAATGGGAGGGTTGTCCTTGGAAATTCCATTTAATATTAAAGAAATGTTCTCCTAAGACAGGACTTGAAGGTGCACTGTCAAAAACCTTCCAGCCCCATGGGGCTATATTCTGAGCTCTTCCTCTACTGTTAGCTCAGTATTATTTCAGTAATTGTCTACTTTAAACAAATTATGATTGCTTCTCTTTTATAGCATATTATAAAATGTTACTGATATATAGACAAAAAAAATTGGAAATGGCCACCTATTAATAACTGGATTTTTTTAGGTTTGTATTTACTGTGGGATCTTAAATTTTTCTGTCAATGACCTCTGTACTGCAATGAAGATGTTCAAAATTCAGATTGCTGGGGAAGATTGCATGGAGGAGTTTCCTGTTAATCTGCATAGGAATTATCATTGTGAATCCCAATTATTGCCTTGGTCCATGTAAGTACTTTTTCCCTCTGTTATATATATTCAGGTTGAAATATGGAAACTATATGTTGTAATTTGAGAGAAATGCAATTCCTCCATCTCAGGTGCCTGCAAATAGGGTAATTATTAGGAAAGTATATACAATGGTTGTCTAACTGTGAGCATTATTATTATTATTTTTGAATTTTAGACTTGGGAGGAGCCTCTGAGACTACTCACACTCTTCTCTTGTACAAAGGAAAAGTCTGAGGCCAAGAGTGATTGAAGGTTTTCTCTGGATCATCTGAGTGTAGTGAGAGGCTAGCAGGGACCAGACCAGGCTGCCTTGGTCTCCAACTTTGCCCCCTGCTAATGTGATTTCATCAGCTTTCAATAGTGTGCGGCAGTTCACGAATCCACCTTCACTGGCACTTGCATGGCAGCTGGGTTTCTGGAAGGAGTAATATCTTTGTCATTAGTTTAGTGGTGCGCAGGGACAGCAGAGCTGAGGGAAGGCATGTGAACCCTCTGCTTTCAACAAGTATCAGAGTCGGGAGGGCACTAGTCACTGTCCTCAAGGGCCTTGCACTGTCATTAGCAGAAGAGGACACAAGCGTCTAGACAATGGCCAAATGGAGCCCTCAGGCAATACATACTTTTATAGGCACTGGCAAGAGGTGGAGGTCACTTCCAGATGGTGTTTCATATGAATGTGGACTTGGTGGAACTCCAAAAAGGGAACCACTGTGTCCAGTAGGATTCATTTTAGGGTTTGTTATCAGGTCTGTTCTTCTGGTCATATGGTCGGGTAGCAGGTAGGGCAGGGAGTGTTAGTCAGTGGCGTTCTTGTGGTGATACAGCTGGGTAGCGGGTAGGGCAAGGAGAGTGGCTTGTGTTGGGCCTGCAAGGTCCTGGCGGACGTGCAGGTTGATTGCAAATTCCTGATGGGAAAGAGACAGGAGATGGACTTCAGGGCTAGGCACAGGCCTGGCTTTATCTCCACACCTGAGTAAGACACTTTCGTTCTTATCCCAGTCTCTCACCTGGCCAGCTTCCTGTTTTGAGTTTGAGCCATGTCCCTGACTGACCCTCCCTGTATTAAGAGGGATTGGCCTGTTTTTGGAAGCTGGGCTGAGCCCATGTCTCTTGACCATATGTATTTCCATGTCCAAGAGCTTAAAAAAGACTTACTTAGATGCAATATAGGTATGTCTTCCCTTTTAGGAAACAAATAATGTTGTTCTGGGATGAGACAAGAAGTCTTGGCTAACACTCGACCTAACTTGTGTCTTCCACAGTGTCTTGGGACAAGGTGCGCATTCCTGGTGTGCTGCAGCGCTTGGGAGTGACATACTTTGTAGTTGCTGTGTTGGAGCTCCTCTTTGCTAAACCTGTGCCTGAACATTGTGCCTCGGTGAGAAACCATGTTTTAATTAAGAAAAACTTTTTAAAAATTAAATAAATGTATTGTGTAGTGATACGGTCACACTATGTTGTCCAGACTGGTCTCTAACTCCTGGCTTGAAGTGATCCTCCTGCCTTGGCCACCCAAAGCACGAGGATTACAGGTGTGAGCCACCATGCCTGGCCAGAAACTGTGTTCTTGTTGTTGATACAGGGCCTTGCTGTGTTGCCCAGCCTGGAGTGCAGTGGTGTGATCTTGGCTCACTGAAGCCTCAACATCCCAGGCTCAAGCGATCCTCCTTCCTCAGTCTCCTAATTAGCTGGGACTACAGGAGCGCACCACCATGCCTGGCTAATTTAGTCTTTTTTTTTGTAGAGACAAGGTCTCACCATGTTGCCCAGACTGGCTTCAAACTCCTGGACTCAGGTGATCTTCCTGCCTTGGCCTCCCAAATTGCTGGGATTACAGGTGTGAGCCACCATGCCCAGCTAAAACAGTGTTTTTTTTAAAAAAGGGAGAACAAAGGGGGATATGGTTTTTAGAACGTCTAAAATTTCTGCATGCAATACTGTACATCTGCTAATCAAATACATTCTGATTTTCACTTTCATTATTTTATTTAATCTTTATATCAATTTTTTAATTGTAAAATACACATGACATGAGATCTAGCCTCTTAACAAATTTGTCAGCAGACAGTAACCACATGCATTATTTTTTCCTATTTTTAGTTGCTTTGTAATAATAGTACATATTTATGAGGCACAGGAGTGATATTTTGATACCTGTGTATCATACAATGTATAATGATCAAATTCATCACCTCAGTTATCATTTCTTTGGGTCAGGAACATGCACAGTCCTTTCTGCTAGTTTCAAATGCATTATTTTTTATTTACTTCTTGGAAACAGGGTGTCACTCTGTCACCCAGGCTGGAGTGCAGGGGCATGATCTCAACTCACTGTTGCCTCGACCTCCCAGGCTCAAGCGATTCTCCTGCCTCAGCCTCCTGAGTAGCTGGGACTATAGGCATGCACTACCATGCCCAGCTAATGATTGTATTTATTGTAGAAACGACGTTTCAACGTGTTGCCCAGGCTAGTCTTGAACTCTTGGGCTCAAGCGATTTACCTGCTTCAGCCTCCCAAAATGCTGGGACTACAGGTGTGAGTC